ACTGGCTTTAATCTGTCTACTGAGCTTTCGCGTCTGCATATGGTGGATGTTTATTGGCTCTTGACTGCCTGGCATCTAGGTCCCCTTTCTTCTAGTAACAACACCGGGCTTTTTTGCAGGGGAGGGGGATAATTATTTCCCCCCACCCACCCTATTGGGTGCAGTCTTGTTAGTACTGAGTTCAAAGTAACCCATCCTCCCTTAGCCTGAGATGAATTATCAGTGGTCACCACCAGGTATGAAATGGGATTGAGTCATGGGGATATTTTCACTTAATATCTGCAATTAACAATTTGCAAATTAAAGATTTAAGAAAAAGATTAATATTTACCCAAAAGACCTGGCTAGATGCAATGAATTTTCCTGTTAAATCCATTTGAACAGCAACCACAAGCCTGGTCTCTTCTCCAGTGTACAGAGCTCGGGGGAATGCAAACAGGCCTGCACCACACTCCTGAAGTTGCCAAAAATCCCTTTAAAATGAATGAACAGATGTCTTTCCTTGGGGTCGAGCGGATATAAATCACCATGGCCTGCTTTCAATTCCTAGGTTTCGGTGTCTTAGGGGCAACAAAATCAATTACTTCCAGGTTTGTTTTCTGAATGTTTTTTAAATCTTCAGAATGATAATAGCAATAGCCATTATAGTGTGCGGGGAAAAGTAAGCACATCTGTGCAGATAACTGCATTTCATCCCAGGGCACAAACTTCGCGTGTGATGCTGAGGTGGAAGAGGCCTCCACCGGTCATTTTTGCAGCTAGGCTGCCCGATAATTCATAGTTCCTTCTCTCCTGTTGTCAATTTATTTATTTTTCCAGAGATACCCCGTTCTTTAAAAAACTTCCGTGTTTCCTGCTCTAATTTATTTCCTTCCTTCCTTCCTTCCTTCCTTCCTTCCTTCCTTCCTTCCTTCCTTCCTCCCTTCCTTTCTTCCTTTCTTTCCTTCTAAATGAAAGCATACTACATTGTAGATGCCTTATTTTTTTTAATGTTATTTTTAAATTAAATTAAAAATTTTTTTTTAGATGAGGCAACCCTTGGTTGACCTCACAGATTGCAAGGACCTTGTCAGCTTACAATCCTTTATTTTTTATTTTTTACACCTACAGCACCTGGTCTTCCTAGGTGGTCTCCCATCCAAGTACTGACCAGGCCCAACCCTGCTTAGCTACCAAGATGAGACGGGATCAGGCTAATTTTTTTTTTTAACTTACTTAACAAAATCAGAAAATCAGGACAAAGTTTAAGTCCATTGTTAAATTTAGACTTTTTCTGTGCTCCCAAACAGTGCTCTTTGAACCTTTATGCTATGTCACCCCATCATTAAAACACTGCTAAAGACATACCAAAAAATAGAATTACTCATTCATTTGTAAAGTATAATCATGCTGTACAAATAATATTCACATTATGAAATAGTAATCAAAATAGAAACCGTAAAAGGATAAAATAAAGATAAAATTCTAACTACTTAATTTTTAAAAATTGTATTTGATTTTTAGTAGCACAAAACATTTTGCTTTCTAAAATATTATTATTAATATTTTTAATAGGATCAATGTATTGAATATGCTTTGTCATGTTTGAAAAATCTTGGGTTACCCTTTTGTGAAATAGCCAATTCAAACGTCTGGTTATATGTTCACTTTATTTTGACACTTGGTTTCAGAGTCCATCAGAGCTGAGAAACTTTATAGAGATATGTGGATCCAAATGGAAGAAATACCTCATTAGCTGAGATTTATTCACTCATTTTTCAATCCTATCTTTTATGCAGAGATGTTTGTTGACATTTCCTCTGATTTAAGGTGTTTTTTTTTGTAATGTGCACACAGTAGATGGAAACACATCCAAATGTCTGTTTTCAAAATGCTCTTGCCATGGATTAAATTACTTTTGAAAAGAAATAACTTTCTTACTAACTGTTAAAGTGTCACTTCTACCTTGAAAGAAAAGATTGTGTGCTTACTTTAAAAATATATGTATCTGCTAGATGACATACTAACAATAGCCACCTGCTATGACAGAAAATGACAACGTATCTGCAACACTTTTCTTTTTTGTCAAGGAGAGAACCCATGACTCATCCTTAGGTTCTACAACTCTTCTAAATACATTGCTATGAGAAAGGAGTACCAGAGGCCTGCCCGGCCATTCTCTCTCCATCATAGGGCAAAGCGTCAAAAAGATCCTACTATTCTAAGGCTTTGTTTAGGGAATTAATCACACCTATTACCGTCTGTAGGCATGTAAATTGCAATTCTTGGCAACATGCTGGACCCAGAACTATGAGAAGATGCCTCTCTTCTGCTTTTTACTACTCCCCAGTACAGCAACAGCAGTCACATGAGAAATCTGCCTCGTGTCTGGACCAAGGGAGGGCACCTGAATGGCTCATCTTGAGCATCTCATAGAGAGTGTGTGTGCCACTTGGAGATTTCTATGCAAAGGACTCACTCCAATTAAATTAAAGGACTTGTTTTTCTTTAGTTTCTGAACTAACTTGCTCTTCCTTCTTTAAGGTAAAATATCTACCAGATTCAGTCTCCGCAGGACCACATGTTGGGAGAGTTAGCTGGGGTTGCTCAGGAAAGGCCTGGCAAGTTGCTCCCCTCTCCCCGCCTCCCCCGCTGCCCTAGTGCCTGGGGCAGGGAGATGATAAAAAGGAAAACATCTATGACTTCCATTTACGGAGCTATTGTTTTATGTCAGCCCCTCTGCTACTGTTCTGTAATTACAGTTGATTCTCTTCGTTCGCTGTAGTTATTTTCTGTAACGTCTTCTCAAACACTGAATTGGGGAATTCTGAACCTCACTTCCAGGGGAGAGTCAGGATTTGGTTCCAGCTGGCCTTTGGTCACAGCCTTTTTGTCAACCAGTCAATACATAAGTTCGTTTTATGTGTGTTTCTGTTTAAAGAAAACATTGACTATAGATGGACTCATTAACATTGAACTTAGGGCCAACAGCACTATAAATTGTGCCTAAAGGAAGATTATTTAACGCATTTTCTTCACGAGGCACATCACGGCCTTCTTGTGCATAGAAACACTAGATAGCCCTTCAGCTCTACGTTTAGGAGCCCTTTCGACAGCAAAATCACCAACAAAAAGCATAAAAACGTGGCACTAAACAGACTGAGAAAAACGAAACTTGTTTCTAGTACGAGACCTGCAACGAGAAGGCAGAGTACAGCTTTATTTGACTTTGGCTGACAATGTGTACATGGGGTGACTCAAAGATTTTGTCACTCTGCACGTGCTCCTGAATGGCATCAAGTATTGATTTAGGGACGTCGAATAATCATAGGTGAACACATGCATGGATTTCATGGATGACGAAAATTGACTGTATCATCTGGTGGTATCCTTGGGAAACAGGTACTGTTACAATGACATGTGAACTGAAAGGAAGTCCAGCAATCTCCTCTTCCGGTTACCTCCTTTGAGACTTTGGGAGTCTCAAAGGTACAGCGAAGTGACTTATTCCAAAACATCCAGTGCTTATGTGACATACACGGGACTAGATCCCAGGTCTCCCAGCCATAGTGGGTACCCTTTCCACTAGTGGGTCCCACTTCATATTTATGGGACCAAATGCAACTCTTTTAACTTGCAGATGGGGCCATGTGTAAAACTTTGCACACTCCCCCTCAATGTTTTCTCTGCAATAAAGTCTGCTTTTGATCAGAATATTTGATTAGATGACTTGTTAGTATATGGGCCCAATGAAAAATATGTATAAAAAAACAAAGGAGGATCAAAAACTTGAATGAAGTCCAGCACAAAATGAGAAATTAAGAGAACTCAATAAAATATCTGCAGCAAGAACAAGCTTTGGCTTTTCAAATTTAGCTCTCCAGTAAGCCAATTCAGACATGGGTAATATGAGCTGGTAATGATGTGAAAAAAGCCAAACACACTGTAGACTTTCAGAGATGTGAGCACATGATGCATAAATAAGAAATATGGGCCAAGATGCGATATTTTAGTTGGAAAATTACTAATGTATGCACATTTTAAATGTATGTATTGTGATGCCAGATTATCTCAAAAATGTTTTTGATATTTCAGTTATTATACAAAATTAGGTTGTTATTTATTCGGTTAAAAGAAGTACAGAATTTAAAACCCATATTAAAAATGGTTCATAACTCATGTGGCCTGTAGGCTCTTTGAGAAATGTAAACACAAGTGAACCAAAAAATTCAACACAAAGAAGAAGAAGGAAGAGGAGGAGGAGGAGGAGGAGGAAGAGGAGGAGGAGGAAGAAGAGGAGGAGGAGGAGGAGGAGGAGGAGGAGAAAGGAAAGGCAAAGATTCAGTTCTCTAAGATCCTCTGCTTATTATCATTTGGTACATCATCGCTTTGACATCTAAGATTTCTATTTCAATGAATTCCAAGCTGTCTTTCACGTTAAGACTTTCTTCACGCCAAGTCTTTTCCCCACCACTGCCCTAATATCACTCATTCCTTTGGAGTGATAATTCAGCTGTTCTTATCCAATATTTACCAAACCCAATATTTACCAAATCCAATATTTACCAACTCCAATACTTACTTATCCAATATTTACCAAAAACACCTGCATATCACGGTCTGACAAACTTCTGTTACACTCTCGTTGTTACACCTCTATTCATTTACTGTACTTTTCACATACTCTTAGAAGAAATTTAAAATTCTTATGCGAGGCCCCAACATCCTATTTGTTCATTTCGATCTGAATCGGCGTCTCAGAATCCATCTCTTCCCCATCTTTTCAGTTAAAATATATCATTCTTACTCATGCACAGCATTTTCTTAAAGTTAATTTGGTGATGAACCATCTCTCCCTAAAAACAAAACAACACTTGTTTCGAGGGTAGATTTTTATTAATGAGAAACATTCTGCAGATATAAAAAGATAATTTTCTTATTTATATGCTATTCTCCAGTTTGAAAATTTTCTTCTCAAAGATTAAACCCCCGCGTTCTCTTTCAGGAAAGCAGCTTATCCATCAATAAGGGTCCCACCCTCTTTCAAAAATGAATCGATTTATCATGTCAAAAGATCTCAGAGGTTGGTCATAGGGTAAAATGTGTCCTCCACCTCGAACAATGACCTTAAGAAGAAAAACAAAAGAAAAATAAAAAACTTGAGATATCCTAAATGAATGGAAAGTTATAATTCAGATGAAAATACTCTTAAAGCTTACATGGATACAGAATATATTCTATCAATCCATACGTTTGCATATGCTCATTGTGTTGTTTTTGATAGCTTTAATAATAGCTACCTTAAAGTTTTAAAATTATATAGTATTTCGTTTTACACAAAGATGTGTTTACCGTTCACCTCTGTAAAAATGGAAAATTCCTCTTTGTCTTTTTCCTCTTTGTGGGGAGCTGTCTGCTCCCCCATGCTGTGCTGTAATTCTTACCTGCTTAGGGCCCTGAGGTGGGAGACCTACCTCAGGTCAGCTCTGCCTGAAACTGGATGGAGGAATCTACCCAATTCCACCCTTCAATTAACTGATCTACTTGGCCCCACACTGAGCTATACCTTCCATCTTAGCCTTTACCATTAATAAAGGGGATATTGTGAAAAATCCTTGCCACCTGAAATTTTAAAAGGTCATTTCTTTGAGCAGCATAGAGTTAGAAATTCTTTTTTTCTCAACATCTACTATGAAAAAATTTCATACATACAGCAAATTTGAAAGAATGTTATATACTCGCCATTTAGATTCTCCCATTAATACCCACTTTACTTATTTTCTCACATATGGATCCCACTATCTATCTATTAAACCATCTTAGACACATTTTAAAATAAGAGAGACATCAGTACAATTCCCTCTAAATTTATACAAAATTAACATACGATGACATGCAGTTGTCTTAAGTATAGACTCAAAAAGTTAGGGTAACAGTGGACACCTGTGTCACTTCTCAGGCTGTATAAACCATTCTGGAAACGTCTATAGTAGAGGTGACTTCAGACTCACACATGAACCTACAAGGGGTCCATCCTGTGCTAGGCTCCACACCGACAGAAAAGGAACTTGGAAAGCCTCTAGTTTTAGCAAATGTCCCAAGTAGAGGACAAGGAGAAGCCTTCATGATTCAATACCAAAAAGGAAAGGACAGACACTGAGGGCTGGGAGGTCATGTGCAGGGAGATCAGTGCGGCCTGTGATGTCCTGTGGCGCACGTGGAGAACAAACGGGAGCTAGTAGTAGGGGAGGTGAGTGAGCACATACAGTGAAAGAATGACATTCGATAACTTCTAGCTGCTGCATCACGATCAGCAAAGATCACTTTGACAAGGCCCTTCACAGGAGGCTGTGCTCACTTTACCTGCTTCAGTCTGAAGGGAGCTGAGGCAGGAAAAGCATTACAAATATATTTGCATAGTGCATTAATTATATTAACCACCCCCTGACCCCTATCATCTTACACACGCCCTCGCTGTGAGGTCAGCGAGATCAATGTTATTAGATACGATTTACTTTGCAGCTCACGGATATCCAAGTAGCGAACTGCCCAGCTGCAGAGAGCATCATTCTGCATCAAGGTGGCTGAGCTATCTGGAGCTATCAGGTGGCTTGTCCAAGTCACACAACTGTGAGAGAATTAGCTAGAATCCTGGCTTCTGACACAAACACCAGTATTTTTAATCAAATCATTGTACAATAGTTCCTTACTCTCGAACCAAATTTTCTAGCTTAGTCACAGAACATTTCACCCACCTCTCGACAGCCCTCTGAGGTAGGTAAGGGAAGCAGAGAACCATTACACGTGTGAGATTGGACTGACTCCTCAAACGCACCTGGAAACACCTGCTTTATGTTACGCTCCGTCGAAGGTCATCTGTGCCCTGTTGCAATGACAGTGGACCCTATCTACCATTTCTGTTCAGGCTTGCATCTGGAAATCCAATACGTCCCGCTCTTTGTCACTGATGGAAAGTAAACAGATGTGTGACAAGAGCCCCTTCATTTGACTCTAAAGGAAAACTTTTGCTGCTCCCATATTCTCGGGCTAGAAGTCCCTTCCTGTAAATTCCCCTCCAAATCTCTGGCCTTGACAGGAATCTGATGAGTGATTTTTATGCAACTTCCTCTCAGCTGAGGACACTTAATGAAGTCATGCTTGTGACAAAACCCAGCTGCTTCAACTGGAAATGAGTTTGGCAGCAATGGTCCAGAACACCAATAAATTGAATACACAGGAGCTAAGGTCACTCTGCCTCCTGGGCCAGAGCTACAGCGACTGTGGGACTCGGCTGGCTCTCCACGGACTGGGCTCAGGAGGCAGAGCAGAGTGCAGGAGTGTGACTCAGGGCACAGCAAGCTGTGTGACCTTGGGCAAGTAACTTAACCTCTCCAAGCCTAACACGACAACCACACAATAGAGAATAACCACACAATAGAGAAAAAAGTTGTGAACTGTGTGAGAAACTAACGGAATAAAGCCCACGGAACAGTGCCTGGCCTTAGCCATCGTCATTCTTCCAACAATCACCTTCATTCAAAATCCATGATAAAAAGGCTTATACCAACCTGACTCCCCTAGAAATGATGTTCTCACGTTAGCATCAACAATCTTGGCTTAAAAATTTGTTTAAAATAGTGGTTCTCGAAAATGCGTTATATTATTTGAGTTTGTTAAAATGGACTGCTGGGCCTCACCCCTAGATATATCAAGTCTGAAGGTTCAGGGTAGGGCCTAAGAATTTGCATTTCCATCAGTTCCAAGGTAATGCTGATGCTGTTGGTCCAAAGACTACTCTGAGAACCACTGCTTGCGAGAACTTATCATTTGGTGACAAACTAGGCAATCCTCTATTTATAATGATGCAGAATACAAATAGAAATTTGTTTAACACCTACGCATGATCTCACCTTTGTGTATCTCTTCCTGATCATCTGCTCTCCTGCTGTTTACACACACACACACACACACACACACCTTTTATGTCCATGATAATCTCCTGGTGTTTATACTCACTCACACACACACACTTGCACACACACACACACCTTCTATTTCCATGATCATCAAGCGAAGAAGAGATGATAGAGTATTGCAATTCTTATCCTCAGTGACCCACCTGACCCCTGGTCCAATTCTGACCTGCCATATGCAATGACCAAATGACATCATAAATGGTGTCATTAAGATTGGAAAGGAAAGTCCATTTAGGAACAAAGTCTCTTTCATGTGCCACAAATTCTCAAAGCACATTCTCCAGCAAATTCACATATAGCATTTTACTGATATGAACCTCGAAAATAAATCTGAGTGCTGAAAATAAACCACCCCTCTGCTGTTTATAGCCAAGCTGCTCACCGCTCACAAGTCAAGGACACAGACCACTCTATAGTTTTTAGAAGTGTGCAACAAAATGTGACAGGGCTGTGATTACATATTTAAATGTGACAAGACGAATCTCAAGGTTCCCTAGAGAGAAATGGCCTCCTCATCAGAGACTACATATTGGGGCTGTTTCCACACTAGAGCCGAAACTGCTACACTCGTGCGCTCCAGGTGTTCCAGGGTGTCACAAATGAGTCAAGAATTTTAAAAGGGCACATAAAACACTTTAAAGCTTCAATCCGCTTTGTTTTTTAGAAGATGATACAGTTCTCTCTGGAACTAGAAACACAGGACCTGGCAGGAAAGGTTTCCTGGTTGCGTCTTTTTAGATGATGAAATACAGAGGGAAATTCACAATGAGCGTGGTGATGTAAATTTGTCAGGGGGAGATTCCATGGGGGCCTTGGAGGAGCAGATCACCGGACAGTCGGTGGTGGGTGGGGTTCACTGGACAGTCGATGGTGGGTGGGGTTCGCTGGACAGACCGTGGTGGGTGGGGTTCGCTGGACAGACCGTGGTGGGTGCTGCAGAGATGCATGGACCTTGTCCTATGGGATGTGTGGGTGTGTGTGTTAAAACTCACAGAAAATAAAATGACCACTCTAACCCTTTCACAGTGAACAACGCAGGAGCATTGAGCACATTCACAATGCTGTGCCACCATCACCACTGTCTCATTGCTGAATGTTTTTATTACCCCAAAAGAAACCCCACTCCCATTAGCAATCACTACATACTTCCCTCTCCCTGCCAATCCCTGGCAATCGCTAATCTGCTTTTTGTCTCAATCGGTTTGCCTACTTTGGATATATCCTAGAGGGTTATATATGGTCAGGGTAGTGATATGCTCATATTTGCATTATAGAAAGATAACAATATGTAATGAAGGGGCTGATTTGGAAGGGGCAAGGAAGTGAATTAGGAGACTAGCTGTTCAGGAGGCTCATAGGACAGATGGTGAGAAGGGGAAGGAGAGGAGGGATGTTGGGGTGGAAGTAATTCAATTAGTGATTATTAGATACAAAGGTTAAGCCAAACTACCCCACCCTCTACCAAAACACACAAATTCTCCCCATTTCAGCCTTTTTACATGGGCGGCTTTGCAAGGGGTGGTGGTATCAACCAAGAAAGAAGAGGCAGGTTGGGGAGGCCGGGGATATAGGATAGATTTATAGCTCTTGTTTTTCCTACAAAATGATGAAGAGGCTCAAGAGCGTCTTGTTTGTTATGGTTTCTTTTACTATTTTTACTCCATTTCACCTTTATGGACTCTTACCTATTAGCTTTCAGATGCTAACCGTAAGTAGAAATAAAATAAACATGCACTCAAATAAAATATGTACTAACAGGAAAAGATACTTGGAAGGAGAACAAAAAGCAAACCAAAGCTTGTTAGTAGCCACTTTCTAACAAAGAAGGAGGCAAGTCACTTTGAAAAAGAAAAGAAAAAGCAGAAATCCAGGTTCAGAGTTGCTTCCATAATCCCCAGGGAAAATTCTCTGAGATTTATCTTTGTACAGTTGTAGTGTAGCAAGTGATAACTGAATAGGAGGGGGAAGCTGCTTTAGCCCACCCACATGTAGCCATCGCAGTGGTATAGACTCTGGAGCTATCAAATAGCTTCTTAGATGCACCATCTTACTTAATCAGTTGCAACAATATGGTCATTTGGGGTTTCCACTTCTGACAATGACACAATAGCATGTGTCAAACTAGTCCATAGGAACACGCCATTCAATTC